ATGTTGAAACTCATGACAACCCTATCCCCCTAGAATCCTACACCATGAGACAAGGGAAGGTGTGGGCGGTCATTTGTCACCCCGGAAAGCCTTTTATTATTATAATTTAAAAGGGTGTGATAATTGACCGTCCCACACCTGCCACGAAAATTAGACTTGTTAATTCGATCCGCCGCTGACCTCAGAGTGTTTTGTAAGAAGGCTAACAAGCGTAAACTTTTGTCTGCCTGAAGTATATATATGAGTATATATATAATGTAAATACACATATCATATAATTTAATGCTTCAAAGCAAACACTTTAGGACTCTAAAGTCGACCAGAAAGAAGTACATCTTGTGAGCCACGCTTTTGGGGCACCCAGCTCTTTTCATTCCACCACACTTAGTGATATTGGCGCTTACATCACAAGGGTGCACCAGGAAACTCAATATATCTCAATGTGATAGCCAAGGTGCGGCTGACAGGCTCCCCTGTGTAACACACTTCGAGATGATGATATATTTGGTCATTGTGAGGCCAGTTATTAGGTACCTTGCTGTATGCGATGTTTGTCTGCTGCCGTGCTAGGGGGCACGACAACTAGACCATCCATTGACAAAAAGCTTGGACACATATGGACCATCTGCCTGTCGCCAAGGCTCAAGCACGTGGCCATCATGATGACGAGTTTCTGCAGCTCTCGCAGCCCGTGGATCTTCCGCAAGAGACGCAAAAGACCTGACGCCAAATACGCGCAACAAGAGACCACCTCATGGTCCTTTGATGGACACTTGAGGCCACCAACTGGTGGGTTGGTATGTTTGCTATATTTTGCTATGGTCTGAGTCTATGTCAGGTGGTGTGAGCATGCATGATGTTTGTCAACATATATATGTCTCTGAATCTGAAATTCACTGGGCCCCGTGTCCAGTATATGGCTGCCAGTCCAAGTTCAAGCGCAAGAAACCAGCTCATCCAACTCCTAGAATTCCTAGGCCAACCAAATCTATTTGTATCATGGCAACCCGCATCATTGTCCTGGCAACTCCCACAGTGGAACAGTGAATGAACGCCGCACCTGCCATGACATTGGATTGGACGAGTGTGGCGGGGAGGGGCAAATCGTCCTGTGGTACCTTTGGTCTGTCATCAATTGGTTTTGTTGGGGGATCATTCTGCATATTTAATATTTGTTTTTTTCTATACCTACATTGATGTCATTTGTGCCCCCACCAAACGAGTCCCCAAGCCTTGACTATGTGACTATGACTGCACTCCGCGTTCACACGAACAAACTGATTCTTTTTTATGCTACGAGCTATAGTAGGACCTGTGAACGTCGAAAAGGCCATCATCATCACCACCATCATCACCTGCTTGTTTTGAAGCAGCCTTGTTATATGACTGTTATTTCATGTTAACACTCAAGACAATCCCTATCGTTTTCCGTGTATGTCATGCCAACTGGTCGTTGACCAAACTCTTGTGAAGTGGCAATAAACATCCAATTTGCTGGAATGTCCCAGAGCTGTATATATATATATATATGATTGTACAATCATTATTGTACATAGAGAGATTGAGATTGGTTTGAGTGGCAGCAGGCAAAATCACGACCCGGCAAAGTACAGATTCTCCTCTTCAATTTGTCCTTTCGGACTACTGCTGTCTTATGTGGATCAGCTTCCCACAAAACCCGAGGTTTCTCGGCCGTCAGTCATTCAAAACAAGGTGCGGATGATTCGAAGAAAGCGTAGCGTCCGCAGGACACCCAAATTTCCCAGGACTTCCGGCAGGAACTGCCCCAGGAACCTCTGGATGTTGGATGATTTTCCAGCAGGAGCGATCCATGTTCCTATGTAGAAATGGAGCAAACCCACACCAACTATATACCAGTACCAAAAACTAACCAGCCTTTCCTGGAATTGATAGAAAATGGAAAAGGACAAACTATACGTACAACAAGGATCAAAGAGACATATATAATGCCTGGCTCCTCATGTCCCTGGTTGCTGAAATATCTTCACAACAATCAATCCACCCCCAATCGGTTTCCTTGATGTTAGCCTCCAAATCCCGCCCACGCGCTCTCTCTCTCTCTCTCTCACCCACGCCTCTGTTTTGTTTTTGTTGTTTTTAAGTATGAATCACTGCCATAAATCTCTCAACCTGGTCTGCCCACCTGGAAATCAAACAATGAGCCGACTCTCCGACTTGCGGCCGGTTGGCCAATGATCTTCGTAAAGATATTGCTTTACAACCAGGAGACCATATACTGAGACACACACACACACCACCCTTCACTGTGCGTTTCGCCTGAAACCTAGTGGTGCTTTTCCTTTTTGTGGGCCTCCTCTTCCAGTCGGGTCATCAAACCAGTCGTGTGAGTTCGAGCCAAGTGTCCACTCGGTGTATCCACACACCACGATTAGAACATCCACTGTCATCAGGAGATCCTGCACGTTTTGTGCGGATGGGCCTGCACCAATGATCACTCGAAGAAAATCACCGTCAATGATAAACTTTTGATTAAGATCGTCGCCAGCTCTTGTTCATCCAGTAAAGGGAGTTTTATGTTGACAAAGAAACAAACTGATACACACTCCTGCAGGTATACTGACAAAAGACCAGCTGAAACCCAAGTGGTAAAAGTTGGGGATTGGTGTGCTTCAACACACTGCGATGGCTTTCAGAATGACCCTCCAACTTGACCTTGGAGAACCATTACGTCCCCACTACAATGCAGTAGGCAGTAACATAAATTTGTCGCTCAATGATGCCTACCAAAAGAACTCATGCTGTCCCTTTTTGTACAGGAAAACTACGTTTCCCAACATTCTTCGCATGTTGAGGTCCTTTTTCAACACGGAGACGCCCTTCAAAAGCAAGAGCAGGACCAATTCCACCTGACGCGCGAATGTGGTACAGCACTGCGGATCGTATGGGCTGGCGGATCGGTACCGGCATGGAAGATCCGGAGTTCATATAGAAAGTACAGTACCGGGTGATGCGCTTGGGTGCGTTGATATGTTTTGATTGTTATTTTTCCTGAGCTAGCTTGGGCAACGCCCCCCCTCTATCCTGCTTATGCTATTTCAGCTCCAGTATGTGCTTTGGCACCATTGGTTCCAATGCCGTGCCGCACAGTATAGACCTTGTTGTGATTGCACTGCGGCACTCCCCGGACCGTGAAGATCTGCCGTGCTGCAGTTCGTCCAAGCCGGTCCAAGCCACGGTGTAGAGAACCAAACAAATCTCTGAGAGTCGTGTGATCCAAACGTCCGGTCCTTAGCAAAAACCCAAGTCAATGCCTTCGAAAAACATTTGCATCGCCCAACATGTTGGCCCGCTAAGCAGCAACATGAAGCGCATGAAGAACCCCCTGTGACTTCCAGCGGTTCTGGTATAGTTAATTAATGGTTTGCATTTTCCAATCTAGAGCCGTATAGTTTGTATTGTCCAACGTGGACCATCCACACACTCTGCATTTTGATGCATTTTGCAGCTTTGATGTTGTTGGGTGTCACAGCAATTTTTTCCCTGGCCGCTTATACAAGCACTAATTTACTGGGGGGTCCCACCCTGTGCCCACCTCGTGTTCCTAGTGGAGCTTTCCCACGTCAGCTTGCATGTCAAAACCATCACTACATATAGATTCTCAATACGCGTGGGTGGGTTGTTCCAGGATGAAACCACATCCACCTGTACCAACTGGGAACCGCAAGTGCCAGTCATCTTTGTGTATCTGACAATGGCGCAGGATTTTGTCCAGTGATCAACTGTATATTCCTTATTGCATCTTCTTGCAGTGTATACACAACCTGAAAAGGGGAGAAAGCCAGCGAGAGAACGCCAGCCCACAAGTAGGGTGCAGGGAGACATTGCTTTGTATCGAGCGCGGCCGCTGAGCTGCATCTTGTCCCTTTTGTCCAGTCTCCCTCACTCTAATTATTCACTTCGTTTGCAGAAAGTCGTGAGCATCCTGGAGTCGACCTATTCGTGGTTGGGTCCTGAATCGGGTACACGCTGGCCCCCCCCTCATAAATGCCCAGAGACCTTGACATCACAGCGCCGGAGACCGTTAGCGTTCACTGCGTCTGTCAGACCAGCAGTGCCTTTTCCCATCACAGTTCAGCAGCTGTACTGCTAACTCTTATGAAATTGGGTGCATCCTGGAGTCGACCTATGAAGGGCTTCCTTTCTCAGTCAGACATGGGCACCACCACCCAGATGCCAAAAAGAACCTCGCAACGTGGAGAGCAAATGGCTTCCTGGCCGTTAGACTCTTAGACATTCTGTGCTCCGGCATGGCTTGCCGTTTGAGTGATGAAGTTGCGAGCATCCTTTCTTTCTCAGTCAGCCAAAAAAATAGCCTCGGAACATGGAGATAACACAGCGCTGAAGCCCAGAACCGTTCTGAAGAGCGCTGGCCGGAGTAGAATGGTTGGCCTTTTGACGATCTTGGAAGTAGCCCCAGTGATGCCGCGACAACTGCGGCTTGCATCTTCTGCATCAACAACCACCTTTCAAACTAGCCTCTGCCAATCCCACCAGGCTATGATTAAATTGATCCCTTTTGCCCGGTCTCCCCCCACTCCCCGTAATTACTCGTTTCGTTCGCAGAGATAGCTTCAGCCTAGCCTGTCGGCTGGCTTTCGTAAAAAGGACAAGAGCTCCTGACACAACCATGAAAACCTGACCTACAACGCGTTCACGGTAGAATCCTTCAAAACTATACAAAGCTCCTCAAATTATACTCGTCAAATTCTGAGAGTAAGTGTTAACAAACTTTCGTCCTCCTGAAGTTTTGCACTGTATGGTTGGCCTCAAGCTAAGACATTAGAGCATCAACGAGGCATTCTCTGCTTCTCCAGCGGTGCAAACCCTGCTGTTTTTTGCAACCTCACTGATCGTTGAACCTGAAGGCCAGGCACACATATTGTTCAGGCGTCTGCTAGAGGCAAAGCAACATGGAACACATGTAAGAGAAACAAACACCCCTGCTAGACTGACCCAGTCGTCACCTTCGGTGGCCTTGCCGTCTGGATCGCCTCCTAGATCACTTTAGGGAAATGCTCGGAAATGCAAACACCAAGTACCATGGAGTTAATCTAGTGAGACATACCAGTAATGAATGAAATGAGAGGCGCTTGGATTACATGAAATGCACACACCAAGAAATCTACTGAGAGGCACTTCTGGTCTTCAACACCCTCAGCCCAGCGGCGTCCGTCATCTGGATTTGCTGCACGTGCATCGATATCCGCGCACGTGCAGTAAGAGTCCACGATCACCTCAAGCGACGGACAACACATCCAGCAGTTAGAAGACGTTACATCAACACCCGCTGCACGAAGAAAATGCATAGTCACTTGAGGCCAGAGGGGGTGAACGAAAGCTAGCCGGGCTTCCGGTGGTCTGCTGCTGGTGCTGCTGCTGCTGGTGCTGCTGCTGCCGCTGCTGCGCTGGGCGCTGCTGCGCTGGGTGCTCTGCAGGCGCCGGGTCGTCTGCTGCTGCTGCTGCTGGCGCTGGGTGGTCTGCTGCGGCTGCTGCTGCCGCGGCATTGGGTATGCTGCTGCTGCCGCTGCTGCGCTGGGCGCTGCAGATGCTTGGTGTGCTGCAGCTGCTTGGTGGTCCCGCTCACCGCGCGCAGGGGGGAGTCGAACCGCGGGGGGGGGGGGTCCATAAGATTGATTTAATCAATTATTTGAGGTTTCTGAGGTGCGTCCACCCCGTCACTTAACTTGCTAAAGCAAGAGCAACTCCAGCTAGCTAAGGCTAGCTTTCGTGATAAGCATATAGGCATAGTCATCACAAGATCAACCTCCTGCGATGAATCTGCCTCTCCTGGTGAAGGCCTACTCTCTCCATCTCGATCGATCCAAGTCGCAATGATCGCCATAAAGTTAGCCACATAGGGCGAGCTGATCAAGCGGGCCGCCCGGCGGCGGAGCTGAGAGCAGCGCGGAGCTGTGTTAAAATGTGCGTGGCGGTTTTGCATGCTGTATGTCCAAATTAGGGAATGATTCAACCACTAACCACTCAACAAATTGTGTTGAGGCATGTCGGGGCCCTCCCTTTGAGAGACATCCAGATCTAGAATCTAACCACTTCGGATCACTTCGGCAAATCCCAACCAAATTAATGGCACTGTCGGAAAAGCTAAGCCCACTTTTGGTATGTCTCAAAATAAATAGTCAGGGTTCTATATTCTATTGTCCCTCTCTCTCTCTCTCCTTCGAAAGCTGAGTATTCTCGTCTTGAGAGAGACTTCCACGACATGCTGTTCGGGAACATAATCTCAAATTAAAGTTTGAATGCCGCACTTCGGAGACATTCCAACACACAGTGTACAAAGATCTGTGGAGTGCCTCGCGTTCAAATACTTTAAAGCAATATGTGGACTCACCTCAATTCGAGCCCCAAGGTGCGAATTTGGCGAATCACCTGCCATCTCCTAGGCGCTCCGAAATCCAACATCAAACCAGATAAAACCCCTCACCGTCTTTTGAGCGCCAAGTTACCAGGGTCTTTTCATCTTGCCAATCATCTCTTCCTCGACGTCGTGTCCGTGTCCGGTCGTCGATGCGACTCGCCGAGTCGAGCAAGTTCGGTGACTCGCCGGTCGAGCAAACCGCACCACGTGCGACTGAAGTGGCTCTGCCCCGGATTTGGCATCTAACACGAACAACATATGGGAGGAAATTCGGAATAAACAGGCAGTTGGCTGTGGATCAATATTCTGCAGCCTTCAACTCCTCAATCCTCAAGGAACAACCTTATGGTTCTTCGTCGGATTGTTTGGCCCATACCCAAATCCTATTGCACATAAGACTTGGGAAAATCAACAAATATCGAAACGTATCTTGATCAAGGAACTGGGTCAAAGGTCGGGGAGATTGGGATTGATTCTCTTCAAGTTAATCAATCCATATATATAATTATAATACATATAATACTACATTATGCTACTAGGTAGGAACTGGCCTTCATTCTGAGTTTCCTAAGACAAAGAGCTTCCAGAATTCCCATCATCTCAAATACACCATGATGATACACCTGGACACTATTATGCTAACTGTAACTTGTCAGCATCAACCCCGCGTGACACTGCCAGGTGTCGCTTCACCTTTATGAAGTTGCTCATCCCTCCAGCAGCTGCTCGTTTCCTGAGAAACTGCCAGTGACAATTTGTAGTTGCTACTGCCTTCAGGTCACCTCTATTTGAAGCAGCTTCATGCACTCTCTTCTCACTTCTCACAAAATCTAAAAGCAACTCCATCCCTGCATGTATCAACAGTCTGCGAGCAAAGTAGTTCGAGTGCAAATGTATTCAAGGTGGGACTGCTAGTTTGTGGTCGCGAGTCGCTGGCTGTGTCTGTATCATGTACTTATACATTTGATGTAGCAAAAGCCAGAAGACTAAAAGAACAAGGCCAGCAAACATCATTGTGAAAGCAACAAGGTGGTCTTTTGTGACGGGCCGGATCACAACATATGTTCGGCGGTATGGCATAGGCATAAACGTGGGGTCCCAGATCCTCAAGGTTCAGGATAAAGCCGGATAAAGCACAAACTTTCACTACTGAGGGCCACCCTGTTCACCATATCCATCATCTGAATCTCTTCTTACCGAGCAGGTCCAAACCCCTGTGAGGCCCCTGTGACCCCTGAATTTGTATATCCCAACACTCATGTACCAGACTTTAGGCTTTTTGTTTTGACTCAAGTTTTGACCCACACCAGCCACAGTCATTTAACAATGATCCTCTGACGCAAAGGATAAACACATATCTGAAACCACCGACCAACCAGTATACATTTGGTTGTCCCTGCAAACAGTACCAGTGGATATTCCGCAGGATGAGTAACTGGTCATGAGTCATATGCGTCATACTATTGGGTTGCTGATACTGCTGGGTGTGTGGCTTGCACGCTTTCTTCGGCCTACAATTCTACAAAGCCCCAGTGACAGCTTTGGCCCACAAGAAGCTTCGCAAACAGTCCATTCACGAGGCTACATACATGTACACGTAGATAAACGGTAGGTATACCTACGAGATCCTACCAGTTTATACCTACAAGTACCTTGTATACCTTCAAACATGTATCTTTTCCAGGCACTCAAGAGACAAGAACACTACTAGGAGCAAAGCGCATCGCTACTAGGAGCAAGGACGCTACTAGGGGCTCCTGGCCTTAC